GCATGACCTTGCACATGTACGGAATGAAGATTGCCTGGCAGATTCGCTGACCAAGCACTCAGCTAAAGCAGACGAGCTCATCAAGGCCGTCCTCACCGGCAACCTCTTGAATGTAGACGCACATCCACCCTTCCGTGCCATGTTGCAGAACAAGGCATTTTTGGTGAGTGGCTAGCACACAATACGAAGCACGGACCCGACATCATTGCCTTTGCAGGAGTCGGTATAGCAGAATCCATGTTTGCTTACTGGGGAACCTGGGCATGATCCGCATGTCCAAGAATTCTGATGCATGAGTTTTTCCGTTTTGCACATTTTCAATTCCTCAAATCCGTGATGCTCGTGTTTGCGCTTGACCCATTTTGAATCTCAAGAAATATGTGTCTGCCTCCGCAGCCACTTTCGGTTTACAACCATTCCGACCTTTGCAATCTTGTATGCTCGATCATTTCGAAGACATGCCAATTCTCAACATGATCTTCGGACGATCCAGCACCGCGGCTCCTTTGCCGAAGCCGCTGGTGAAGAGACGGGCATCTCTGTTGAAGGAATCCCCTGCTCGTGACGAGGAAGATGAGACATCCGACTGCCCCATGGAGCAGGTCGCCGATGAGAATCCATCCGCCTCTCAGCAACCCGAGAACGTCAACATGGAGCAGGTTGATTATGATCGAGATTCCGACGACGACGAAGATGAGTCGGATGAAGAAGACCATCCTCCCGCAGGAATGCCGACGTCGAAAGCGATGCCACCTCCAAGACTGGTTCCAAAGTCACCACCTCCAACACTGAGGCTTGTATCCAAGGTCAAGCCAGCACCAAAGAACATCCTGGATGAGGACACGGAATCCGACAACCATCCTGGTAATCGACCTGCACTTCCAAGGCGACCAGCGATGCGGCCAATCCTCACATCCAACGATCGGTGGTTTGTGACATATGGATCAGATACCGACATTTGCCTCCAGAAGGAATCCGTACACCCAGGACCTTTCGGGAATTCGAAGTTCCTCAGCTTCGTGTACGACTACTACAAGGAGTGCTCAACCATCCTCGAGAATCATCCGGACTTCCACTTCATTCCTGAGCATCAACGACCACATGGAGAAAAGGTATTCTGGTTGAAGGCAAGATTCAACGATTACTGGAATCCAACAATCCAAGGTGAAGGAGCTAATGCAGAGACACAATACATGGACTTCATCAAGAAGGTCTATAGCATCTGCTGCTACACCAATGCTCAAGGTGAAGTTTACGGAAACCGACATCATCCCGATGGTGTGCCACAACGGCAACATTGATCACGAGAAGACCATCCAGAATGTCGAACAGGTTTGCAAATACTTCCACATGGAACCATCCAAGGCGAAACAGATCACAGACCTCATCCTCTGGCGAATCGAGAGAATGAGTAGATTGTTTTCCGCATGTCTTCGACACGATCCAAGGCATAACCTCCATAGGGAATGCAAACGACAGGTGGAAATGGGTCCTGATGGATCCGTTGAGCTCTACGACGCATTGACCTGCATCTCACATGCCAGGAACTTCATTGGAAGCAAGCCAGGACTTCTCTTGATGGCTATGTTCCCGAGCTATGGAAAATCACGTTTCGAAGTTGCGTTCGTGTTTCCATCCGTGGACGGGTCATATAATGAGCGCAAGGCAAGGGGAGAAATTGTTCCAAGGAACAGATGGATCGACAAGCTCAACACAAGATCCGCACAAAATGCACTCGGGCCCGATGGCAAGGAGTTCTACAATGATCCCCAGATGGAATTCTACGTGAGATGCAACAGCGGACATACACGACAAGTCGAGATCCAATCCTTTGGACGACCCCTGTACTCTGAGCAGCAGAAGGAACCTCACCACGACGAACCGGACTATGATCTTCCAACGGAATCCATTCCACCAAGTCCGCATCCGTCGAGGTCAGATGCGCCTCACGAAGATGAAGGCACAGCTCAGCCCAAGTACAGAATGCGAAGGCCGGCACCACCATCCATTGAAGAAGAGAGAAAGATCAAGCCGTTCGCGAAGAAGCCCATCACATTCATGTTCCATGCAACCTATGGAAATCAGCTCCTCAGCATCGTGGAGAACGGGCTCAAATCTGGGAAATCCCAGTCGAACCCTTCGGGGAGAATGCACGTCCACATGTCATGCATAGACGACGTCATCCTTGACGATGACGCGTCAGAAGCAGCACTAACCCATGCGCCAGCAGGAAGAGACGCACTGTTGATCCTTGCATTCCTCAAGGACCAGGACTATGGCATCCGACTGTCTGAAGAGCGAACAGCGATAACAGATCAGACCATCGAGGCGAAGAATATTGTTGCAGCATATGAACCTGAGGAACCCTCCGGGGAGAGATCCGTCAAGCCAAAGGTCACCATGGAGTATCACAACACCGAGAACCTAGACGAGTTCATCAATGAATTCAAGGAAATCTACCTCGAAATAGAAATGAACAGAAAGGACGCCGAGGACGAGCTCGCGGAAACCAAGAGAACCTCCGCCGTTTCATGGACCAGTACAACAAGGATCCAAGAAAAGCTCATGCTACATTGACAGAATGCGAGAGAGCCTCATTGGCACACGTCGATCCCGATGTCAATCTCGGAGAAGAAGAATTCTACTTCCATCATCAAGGAGAATGTCCCACCATGGACGAGTACAGGCAGGCACAGCCATTTTCCGGCTATCCCATCAAGCTTCCGCTGGGATTGAAAAGGCTTAGGTCAAATGACGACCCGGAGCTCATCCGAGCATACGCCGATATCCTGGGATCGCTGATGAAGCCGACCGACCGTTCACCTGCGGACCATCTCAAAACGCATGAGTTCACCTCATCCCTGACGATCAACATGCTTACTATGAACCACGGAAACCTCACGAGGAATCCAAAGCTTGACAACAGGGAGGTGTACAACATGCCGATGAAGGATCGACCAATCATGAAGATGATGATGCAGAACAGTGCGCACATCTTGTGCCTGAACAAGCAGACGCATTCTTCAGTCCTAATGATGAGAAATCCAGAGAGCTCATCAAGACGTTCATCCGATTCGGATACAAGGGCCTTGTGATCAAGCAATGGTCATCCAGACCAATCGCATGCTTTGTCCGCGGCGGACCGTCCGCAAGAGTGGAACTACTGGCAAGGTATATTTCCACCAAGAGTCAGAATTGGGGAACCACATTCGGAATGTTCAGATGTTTCTTCGGCACAGAGGAAAATTGCACTGATCCCGAATACGAAATTCCAACCTCGGACTGCTTGGCAACCACGGGAACATCCATGTTCGCTGAATCCAAGAAGTACATTGGATCGAGATTGCCACCACGCACCATTGTCCAAGGATACGGACGAGAGAAAGAGATTATCGTTCTCCAAATCGAGCAGAGTGATGAGTTTCGTGGCATGGTCCCGAAATCAACCAACAAATCACTCCTCAAGTTTGACGACCGCCACGTGACGAGGGCAGACCTCCCGTTTGCTACCATTGGAGTTTTCCACATCCATCCATCAATCAGCCATGGAGCAGCACGGGACGATTTTCAGAAGGAGATCATGCCGCTCGTGACATTGCGCCAATGCGATGCGATCACAGGAGACGCCAACAAGTCCGCGAATACCTGCAGCAAGCTCCAGCAGGTTTTCAATCCGGCAAACGGTCTCATGAACATCCTCATGAAGGCATACCAGAAGCTATGGAATGAAACGAGTAACATGCCACTCGTGGACAGAATGGAGTATGCAATGGAGACTTCGTGCAACCTCAAATCCATCATCCGTCATCACCTGCACATGAAATGCGGATCAGGGTATGATCGAACATTCCCAGATGTGATGATGACATTCGTGTTTGGATGGGGCAAGACGAACATCCAGCAGGTTTTCCGGAATGAGGAGATGAACGCCATGAATGATGAACAACTGGCAGCCATGCGGAACAATCCAGCACAGGCCATCTTCGATTACCAGGTCTCATCCGCAGAGCGCTTCAAGCGCGTGAACAATGACATGTTCATGAATGGCTCACAGGATTCCGATTCGCACAGTCCCCTCATGGTTTACATCCGCAGCAAATCTGCAGCCAGGCAACGAAACTATGAGAGAATCAAGGAGTACAACAAGAAGAAGCAATCCTGGACCCCGCACGAGTACAAGGACTACAACAAGCAGTGGGGATATCAGAAGCAGTGGAAGGACTATGGCGACTCGACCTGGAATGATTATGGAGACTATGGCAGTCAATCCGACAGCAGCCGTCGGTGGTACAAATGAAGAAGCCACCTTTGGCATCCATCCGATTGACCGAGAAGACTCATACGTTCAGCACTACGAACTACAACCAGATTGATCCTCACCGCCAACAAGACTATTCAGTGAGAGATCAATAGTTTCACATTCGTTCCGCATGTACATAGCGTTGTACATCACCTTTCGATACATCTAGGTATCTCAGAGAATCAGTACAGACTGTTTTCCATTTTGCAGATCAAGACTTTCATCCGCGCAGAAAATAGGATGAGTGTAATATTTCAAGAAACATGGCTACGGCAAGCAACAAGGCTACGGCCAAAGGCCATGAAGCCAATAGTATTTCATACTTAGTGCTGGAGATCAAAAGAAATTTGTGTCTGTTTTGTGTTTGGTTTGTTACACAATTGATCTCCTGCAACCATTTGGCTCAAGGCCCCTTTTTGTGTATCATCGCACACTCATGATCGCGTGAGAGAAAGGAACCTTTGCAGGCCGCTTACAGGATTATATCACAATACAATCCACCAGGGACAATCCATCTTCCAATCATCCATATTGGCATATTGGACTCTCTCTGGAATAGATCTAGGGACCAAATCAACGACCTCAACTACCACAAGGGTACCAGTTCCCTTCGGGGATAGGCACCCCGGCAGTGGGCCTCACCCCCCTCCCCCCAGCTCCACTTTTGGCTCAGCTTCAGCTGAGGTTCCAGTGAGAAGTCCTTGCAGAGCTGGACCACCGCGGCGAAGCTCAAGTGCCCTGCAACTGAGGGGGTCCACGCAAAACAAGATCTGTGCGTGTGTGTGTCTCTCACCCGGACGTTGGTTTGAAGGGGAACCAAAAGGAAAACCCGACAGATCCATTTTTGGGCGAGTTTCTCACAATGGGATTCGGACCCAGAAAGGTGGATTTCACCAGAAACAAAAGCAGATCCTTGCCTTTTTAGGACATGAGAAGTGGACCCCTGCTTTGAGAAACACCCACATGGGCCCGGGGTAAGGTGTGTCGGGTCAGCTGCCCCCAACTTGGTGGTACCCCCAAAAGGACCCCTTTTTAAGCTGGTAAGGGAACTAAAAGGAACACCCTTCAAAGGTCCCAAACTTTAAAGACATGCTGTTGGGAGGGACCCCGGTTTTCCATTTACCCTTTGCATCAACGGTCCACGGGTTGCTTGATTCATGGTCCGCTTTGTTCGTTTCCCGTATTACCTAACAGTATCCAAAGCGGTCGCCAGTTTTGGGAACATCCCAACTGGGAAGGAATACGGGAAGCTTGCCTGGAAACAACCGTCCGAAGAGGCAAAGAAAGGAGTCCCCAATGTGAGCGGGAGGAGTGTGGTGTTTCAGTCCAAAGGGATGCCAAAAATCGTAGGGACAATCCAAGTTGACCATGTGGAATTGAACCCTTTCGTGGACATCAGAAAGACAAGGTTCAGATTGTGTCCTTTGCCCATTCATTCTTTGTGAGTGTTGTCAACTAAGAGCTGATCGTTTGTCTTTGTGCTCCCTTGAGGAGCCCGCCGTCCTTTTCATCCATTGCATCACAAAGTGAGCTGTTTGTTCTTGGCTCATGAGACATGTGGGACTGGAAAGCTGCGGAGCATTCTCTTGGGCCTTCCTTGAAAGCATCAAGCATCCAAACAGGAAGTGGGGCAGTTTTTTATGTTGAGACAGACTCACTCAGTTCAGCTTCACTATAGCCAAGCCTTGATGAATTGGATAAATCTACCTGGATTGACTTGGTCAGAGCGAATGCAGCTCCAACAAAAAAATGGGCTACCTGCTGTGAGGATGGACTTTAAAATGGCCGCAACAACAGAAAAATTCGATCACGAAGCCACTTTGCTCGAAACAAATCATCAGAAACCCATAGATCTCGGGCAACCTGAAGGGCAACCAAACAAATCACCGGCAAGCTGAAGGGCTTTCCAGGTCCCATAGGGATCTCTCGACTCCGAACGCGCCGGGACCCCTCCTCGCTCATCTGCGTAGGCGCTATGGAGCTCCTTGAAGACGTCCTCATGCTGCCAGAGCAGCTGTAGCACCTTCCAAAACGACAGGGATGAACCGACAAAAACTTCAAACTGCATTTGAGTCATAAACCCGGGTTTTGATTGTGGTCCATGTCTGGATCTACTCTGGTTGTTTGCACGGAAATTGAAACTTCCTGCAGCAAACCCGGCTGTGAAAGGAGAGTGTATAATATATTTACGTGTATTTTGCGTTGATGTTTGCTAGTGTATATGTGTGCAAATATATATATATATATACATATATATATATATATTTATTTATTTATTTATTTATTTATTTAGTGTTAGTGTGTGTGTGTGTGTATCTATATATATATATATGTATATTGATATATTCTCCCGTCCTCTGCCCTCCTACACCACATGGTATCCCCCGCCCCCCCAGAGCCCCCCACCCTTTGCGCACTTGTGGTGAGTCGAGCCCCTAAGCCACTACATCTCTTCGGGCTCGCTCCGCACTTTCCATTCCCTGCCACCCACACACGCACTTCTCTCACGCGTGCGTATTCGTCTTTTGTCTTTTGTCAAAGAGCTAGCTTTCAAGTTGTGTCCGTACCACGGCAGTTCCTTCTAAACTTCCTTTGATGAGCAAGCAAGCCCTAAAACCACCCCACAGGGCGGGCAGGGCCCTTCCAAAACGCATCCCAAACAACTCTAAGCCGACCATAAACCAACCCCAAACCATCCCTCCAACCAGCCAGCCCCACCCACCATGCCACGGGGCGGGGGGGGGGGGGGTGGCGGGGGGTTGGGGGGGGGGGGCTGGACCATATATATATATATAGTGTGTATATGTGTATATATATATATATATGCTATATATATATATATATATATATATGTATGTATGTATGTATGTATGTATGTATGTATGTATGTATGTATGTATGTATGTATGTATGTATGTATGTATGTATGTATGTATGTATGTATGTATGTATGCATGTGTGTGTGAGTGTGGTGTGTGTGTCTGTGTGTGCAAACGACATTGTGCACAATAAGGCAAGAGAGCATCCAACCCATCCAACACCCCAAGAATCTTAAGAAACAATAAGAGCTAAATCCAGGCTCATCCATCCCATAAACCAAAAAAGATAACGATGCAAATGGCTGTCTTGCAAGAGAGCCAGCCACGACTCATTTCAGAACACATCTGGAGAAAATCCTCTAGGCTCTGTGTCTTTTGAGGCTCGGCACCCTTTTGGGCCGCACATTTTGGGCCGCACATCTTGGGCCGTCCGAAAAAACTCCGCCGGCGCCGGCGCCATTGCGCCATCGCCGTCGCCGGGGACTTCCCGCCTCGGGCTCCACGAGGAGGGACCGCAGGCGCTGCTTCCTGGCCTCCTCCAAGATGCTCAGCTGCCTGGCCTGGCCGAGTCGCTGGCTGCACGTGGCTTCTGAGAAGATCTGAGATCTTCGCGCTCGTTGAAATGGCTGCGGCTCAAAACAGTGGAACCCATTTTGGGCCCCTTGGATGGAAACAAAGGCCAAGACCTGCGTAGCCCCAGGTCTTAAGTTTTGAGCCACGCCCAAATAAGCTCATGAATCTTCAAACTTGGCATGGCTGTCAAACATGTTATGGTTGTGTTGCAAAAATATACATTGGAGGGTATGGGCGCTAATGGAATTCACCACACACAAGCTGACTCAATCTCACAATCTCACGGCTCCCGCGCGGCTCAGCATGCGTGCACGATTCGGACAATGCCACTGGTCCAAACCACACAAACAGGAGCCGAGAAGAATGAAAAAGCAAACAGGAAGTGCCCATACAACAGATGCTGCACGTGTTTCGAACTCGACTCCATGCCCGGAAGCTCTGTGCCCGCCTTCGCGCTGGGAACTCGCAAGCTCCTGGCTCAAACATGCCTTGCACAAAGCAAACAAAACGTTGAAACCTCGTCTTTCGAATGGCGGTGCTTTACGACTCGCAGGCGCCCCAAAACCAAGCCTCGGCGCTTTCGCCCTCTCGTCCTGGCCGAAAGGCCGAGGCGAACTGCGACCCCCTGCTGGCGTTTGGGCAAAAAGAAGGGCTGGTGGTTCATTTTAATGGGAAAACACGACTGGTTGTTCTTGTTAGGGGGAGAACTGGCAGATTCCCAAAAGTACCAAAAAAAAAAAGAAGGTTGAAGGCCAAACCAAAGAACAAACAAGTCAAGTGGCAACCACTGTTGCCCGGCAAGGCACAACCCACTACGCTCCAGACCTTCTGAATAATTCCGACCTACTTGTCCAGCAAAGGGAAGCTCGGCCAAATTTGCATCTAACCCGCGGAATCTTCGCCCTCAAACTTCCGACTCTCCACGAAAGCAAAGCACAAAACTCCCCCCACCAACCCCCTCCGGCGTGCATTCCTCCGCGTCGGAGTCGCGATCCTCGGTGCCCACCCCTTGAATCATCAAGTTCAGGTGCTCCTCAGGGTCCGAGCAAGCCGCAATCCTTTGACACTGGCAAATCCTCAACGCTTGAGTCTGCCTCCCATAAGTTCCAGAAAAACAAGAAAATCCTTTGCAGGGATCCTTACATGCACCTGAACATTGCCTTGTAAATGGCGGGTTCCCTTTTTTTTGGTGGAAAAAGCCATGTTTCAATTGGTTGCAAAATGAATTTCTTTTAAGGAGCCCTCCTGCACCTTGACACCGGCGAATCCTCAAAGCTTGAGACCTCCTTCCCATCTGCCTCCCATAAGTTCCGGAAAAACAAGCCCCAGGCGGGCGTTCTCGCTCACATTGCCCCAGCCTTGCTGATGTTCATCATCTTGACCGCAAAGGAAGGCAGGCGGGCCCTGCGAGCGACGCAGGGTGCCCTTTGTCCCGTTCGTCGAGACCTACGATGTATCTGGTGATCCGGGTATCGCAATGAACAGCAGGCTCCACAAAAGATATGAGTCATAAGGAAGCGCACTCTTATTTTTGCAGTTGTTGGGGACTGTCAGCTACCCCAACCTCATCCCGCCCTTCTTCGGGCGGGAAGCCAGTCAGCCTCGTGCCATGGAAACTCCCAGCATGTGGATCATGGTCATAGCTCCCTAAGAATCAATCCTGCACCACCTAAAGAAACCTACAAATCATTATTCCCCTGTAAATACCAACAAACAATTTGTCATGGTTTCTTAGGTGGTGCGAAATGGATATTTTGTCCATCCACAGTACCACTCAGCCACGCGACGCTCCACTCGCCGCCTTGCCTGGAGATCTCCGCGATGCTCTCGATGAACTTCAGGCGCATGGCGGAACTGGAGGGCCGGAAGTACCTGGGCAGGCACAGTCCCGGAGGTGGGTAAGCAAAGGAGATGAGAAACCCGGTTTTGGGGGGAAGTGCGCCATCTACACTTTACCCAACTATACCCCAACAACCACAAAGGCGCATTGGTTGAGGCTCAGGAAACCCCTATATCCTATGGTTTTAAACGCAAGCAACAGGTCAGGTAGTTAGAAAGGCTCGGCTCAAACCAAATCGAGAGGTGTGACATTATGCTCAAAAAGTCCCGTCTGGCTATCTTCACCCTTACACGATGTTTGCTCAGTCATGCATGGGAAAAGCACTTTACCCTGCTCCCTCAGCCAACACTGTGTGCAGTGCTTGTTCGTTGCGGGCCTAGAGGTGTAAAACAGGGTGTTCTACAGCCCGCATACATGCTTCATCTGGCTAAACGCTAAACGGGGCGAAATGAATGGCATGAACCATGAGGAGAAACCCTGCCAACAAAGCGATGCCTCTTTAACAAGGAGGTTTGGAGGTGCGATGCGGTTTCATCCCAAGAGAAACAGCCACAACCACGGAGCAACCTGTAACAAAGTAAGGGGACGGTCCCCCGGACAAAAGGGAAGCCCCCTCCGACAGAGAAGCACGCCCAAACAAAAGTATGCATCAGGTGGTCTGAAATCCCGATGAACGAGTTGACGACCACCCCCTGCCAACCCCGAGGTAAAGGGATCATTCAACCACGACACGAATAAAACTGGTGGCGGTCCTTCTCCCCTTCAACCAAGCTGAAGAACAGAAACAACTCCAAACAAAGGCCCACGTCCTTGAAATAAGCATGCCATCTCCTGAGAGTTGGATTTGTACCCAGCAACCGATTTCTCCCATGTGTGTGTGTGTGTGTGTGTGTGTGGGTGTGTGTCTGTGCGTGCGTGTTTGGGGCTCGGTTGGGGAAAACAAAAATGAAAACCGTGATTTGCAGGGTCCAAACCACAAGATCGACACACACACAAACAAACAAACAAACAAACAAAACAAAACAAAACAAAACCAGACAAAAGAAAACAAACAGAAGCGGGTGTGGACCCTTTTGCAGGATGCCTGGGGAAGGCAAAAGGAAAGAGGCGCGCATGATCAGCCCAGGCACTGCTGGACTAGGGCCTCTAAGATCTGCCAAAGGTCCTGCAAGTCAACGACAGGGGTTTCGGGGGTTCGGGGCTTTGGGATCTTTAAACCACCTTGAGGTCGGTTGGTTGGTTGGTGTTGGGTTCAACCATTGATTTATGACTTCCCTTTGCCGCCCGGGGCTTGGACCCATCGCCTTCCAATTGACCACCGGCAGCAGCGGCGCCGTGCCCACTGCCGCCTCCTCCTCGGCGCAGTACCGCACCAGGCGCGCAGAGGAGTCGAAGAGGGACACCGCCCAGAAGAAGGGCACCTCCCGAAACATGCAACTTGAGTCATAATCAAAACGATTGTATTAGAATGGTCGCAATCCCAGAACAATGCTTCAAGAATCAAGAAGGCGGCCGCAACTATTTCTGGCTGGGATTGTCCCTTACTGACGTTCATCTACCCGGGTTTTGATTGTGGCTCAATTGGCAACGAGCGGCTCACCTGTAACATGCAACTTGTGGTTTCCTTGCCAAGGGCATCAGCTTCATTTTGTTCAAACAAAAAAGTTGATTGTCTTCGCCTGACCGGCCTGCATGAATGGGAAGGTCATCAAGGGGTTGGGCTGAATAGGGTCAAACACTTTCTTGAAGTAATTACTGTCTGCTAGGTTTTGAGTGACTGGCACAGCGGCTGGGCAGACTTTTCCCTGCCTAAAAGGGGTGCTTTTGACACACAGGCCCCAAAAATCCGGCACGGCTTGTAGGAAGTGGGAAAATGGCGAGAAGTAATATGGATATGTGTGTGTGTGTGTGTGTTTGCGTGTGCTTTTCCGGGTACCCTTGTCGGGTTGGTTTGACAGGGAAGTCAAAAGGAACCCAACCACTTTCGGGGGGAGGGAATGTGAAGAAAAAACCCGTGTATGCAAATACGACATGCTGGTACCAATACGTCAAGCGTCGGATGTGTCGGACTTATCACAATGTCTACAAGCACAGCCTTGGCGAAAGACAAGGTGTTGGGAATCAAGCGTTGGGGCTGTCATAAACAGGGTTGCCATCTGACAGAAGTGATTTAGGGACCCCGATCAGTCCTGTCCATACACATAAGCCACTCATCATGCTAATCAGTGGCAAATGACACACATGCGCTTATGGAAATCCAATCCAACTCCTACTCCTCTTTCATCTCCCTTGAGTGTCTCCAGTGTATCATTTTCTAGCAAACCCTCCAAAACGATCCTTGTCCCTTTTGGTTTCCCTTTAAAACCACCCAAACCGGTACCCAGGGTTCTACTTTTTGATTCCCCCTCGGTAGACTTAAACCCCAAAAGGATTGGGGTAGCAAAAAAGTGGAACCCGGCCGGTAACTCCAAAAAGCAGCCACTAATCAGCCCATCCGCCCAAGCAGGAAGCAACCAGGAAGCAGCCCTCAGAACCCGGCCTTCCGCTGATCCGCCAGCCCGGTGTCCAGCAGGAAGCGGCAGAAGGTGCTGCGGTCCATGCCCAGCTCCGCGCCGCCGTTGGGCCAGCTGGCCAGCGACCACGCCTTCAGCACCTCACACGAAAAACTGGGGGCCGGCCGTGGATTTTTGGAGAGATCTGCCAAAAGCTATTCACTTGTAGTGGGCTTAGTGGACATCAAACCCTAAAAAGCGAGAAACCCTCAACACCACCAACGAACACCACCCCACAAGGAGACCCCCTTAAGTCGGCCAAAAGCTCTGGCTTGAAGCATCCAAACTGGCGACATCGCTCTTCTTTTGTTTCTCTTCCGTTTCGCCCTTTGACTCGCCAGACTTCCCCAAACGACATAAGACGATGTTCGGCTTCTCACAGCACTTCGCCTCGAATCCTACGCACCACCACCACC